GATGCAGATAGACAGTTCGACGGTCTTATGATACCGAAGTGTATCAAGTGGTGGAAATCGTTTTTCGCCAACCTAATGCATCGTATTGAAGACGTTTCGCACAAAAATATGCATTATGGGGTCAAATAATATTTGTTATGACATCAAGATTTGATTTTTCGGAAATAGTTTCTTTGAATTTATAAGGAATGTCACTGCTGAGAAAAGATTTATTTAAAAAATCGGCATCTATCAAATTTAAACCAGATTTTCAATCAAGATTAAATGCATCCAACAAGTTTCGCTCAGATTTGTGAGAAATTTCATCAGAACTATGTGAATTCATTCGAAATACTATATCTGGCACAATAACATGAGAATTCTGACCGTCGTTGTCTAAATGCGATGCAAAATTAGGTATAGACGTTACGAACACCACACTCAACATTCAGCAACAAATAACACAGTTCACAACTCAGTGAGCATCATTATAAGCTACCATCGCGAGCATCAATGTCTTACCAAAAATATTTATTTCTAGAAGAAGAGCAGTGTATATACAATGCCCTAAGTCATCCAAACAGACAGCTGGTATCTGTTATTATCATATGAAGTACAGTGAGAAAGCACGTCGTTGCACACAATCCTGCAACTTTACAACAAACAAGCAAGAACACCAGAAAAACAATCCAGCTAGACAGTATTGGTGGCGTCTGCTTTTAGCCAACACGCCGGCCGCCTCCTTTACATCAATGATCGTATTTCTGACTGACTTCTAAGTCGACACAAGAGCAGAAATTGATATCATCCCACTTCATCTCTTGAAGAAGACAACAAAATACTAGCACTAAACTGTCTCTTATAGCGGCTAACCTTTCAGTCATCAGTATGTATGGAAAGCAATCTATAATATTAATTATCAGACCCCGCAGAAGATTCATATGTGTTTTCATGTTTGCTCACGTTAAATGATGCAACCTCCGGGTCGCTTTTTCCAGTGCTTACAATTTATTAATTGGCATGACCAAGAAGAAGATAACTGATGAAAATATAAATTTACAGATAAACAGTACACTTACAACTGACTACGAAATTCATGGTGTACGAATAACAAAACCTGTGAACAACATTTTCGGCGACATCCTGATCAAATACGAGTGCATAACGAAAGCAGATTATCAATAAGACTTCAATTCACACTATTTGAAATTTCACATCACTGCCACTGTTGCATATATTTGCGTCTACGCGATGAAACTACCACCAAAGAAGATGGGTGATGTTATAAAAGGCTTAGATTAAGTATTTGTCAACACAGACGACGTTGTGATCGCAAGCTCATCAATAGACTAGCACGTTCGGGATGTTTAGATCTTCCTTGAACGCTATATTAGGCATCGTGATTTATCATCCTAACAAATGTATATTAGCCGTCAAAGCCCTAGAGTTCTTAGGACATTACATTGACTCTCCAGGTACTAAACCACTGCAATGCAAAGTTGAAGCTATCATCAATTATCCTGGACCATTTTCTTTAAAATCATCATGCTGTTTTCTCGTAGCATGCAATTTTTCCCGCAGATTCCTACCATGTTGTGAATAAGTGTTACACTCGTTAAATGATATGCTGTAAAAGTGACAAACAAGGTACGAAAAAGGAGAACAATCAAATTTTCAAGTCACCTTCTGACGCCAAAATGGCATTTGAAAAAAGTAATGTCCATGATAGCCAACGCAAACATAGTACAACACCTAAATACTGACTCCGAAACCCACTTCATTCCGTGTACGGATGTTTCTTAGAAAGCCGCCGGGGCAGTATTGCAACAGTAGGTAAACAACACGTTTAATCCTGTAGCGTTTTTCCCAAGAGACAGACTCCAGCTTCGAAAACTTATAGTACTTTCGGACGGGAGTTACTCGCCATCTATTAAGCAGTTAAACACTTAATCATCTTAATACAAGGTAGAATTTTCACTACAATGACCTATCACAAACTTTTGATTTATTCAATCAACTCTTCGTACGACAGACATTCACCTCACGAAGCACGAAAATTGGATTACGTCTCTCGATTTACAACAGATATCCAATTCATCAAAGGACACACTAACGACATAACTGACGCATTATCAAGAAAAGATGTCAATACCCTGACAAGTAACCTAGACATTGGTTTGGAAACAATAACAAAATTGCAAGTACATGACACAGATATCAAAAGCTGGAAAGAGAATTTCAACTATATAATAAAACACATACACGTTCCGTTCTCTAATGCATCTATTATTTCGAAATTTTAAAGAGCAGCAATCGCTCCTTCGTCCCTCAACCCTGATAACATCAAGTATTTCGGTGACTGCACAAAACTAAAGATCCAGGAATCAGAACCAACACTAAATTCATTACTGAACATTTCGTGTGGCCAAAGATTAATTCAGATATTAAACTATGGACACAAAGCTGCATACAATGCCAACGCAGCAAGATTCAGAAACACACAATCAGTCCGTTTGGGAAGTCGTTTTCCAGAGAAACCCTTCTAACACATTCATCTAGACATAGTCCGTCTACAGCCACCATCAAACGTATTAACGCACATCCTCACCGCAGTGGACAGATTTAACAGATGGTCTGTGGCATGCCCTATTGCTGATACTTCTGCAGAAACAGTAGCCGCCGCATTCCTCGACCGTTGGATATCAAACTACGGAATAGCATCCATCGTTACTAAGGACCGTGGTTCCCAGTTCCAGTCTATCCTATTTCAGAAATTCCCAGGACTTCTGGATGCGAACCACATCAAAACAACAGCCTATCACTCAACAGCTAATGGTTGGATCGAAAGGTTTCACCGCCAATTTTAAAGCTCGCTGACGACAAAGCATGACACATCAAAGCGGAAAAACGCATTATCAATCGTCCTCCAGAGAATTCGGTCAACCATAAAGGAAGATATGCGTTTCGAAGCCGCCGAGCTGGTTTAAGATTCAACTTTTTCATTTCCAGGTCAATTGGTAGACACAAGAACGTGAATACCAACCGATTCAAGTCGTTTTGCTGGTCAACTTCCACAAACATTGCAAAGACTCAAAGCCATACCGCCGCGCGAACATGATAATCCAATTCAACTCGACCAAAAAACTTAGAAACATGCAAATTTCTTCTCGAGTTGACGCTGTTAAAAATCCACTGAAAAGACCTTATGGAGGACCATATCAAGTTATCAAAAGATCAAGCAAACACTTCATAATCAACAAGTGCGCAAATAAGAAGACTATCGCTATTGATAGAATAAATTCAGCATTTTACGAAACGAAACACGGCAAAGAATATAACATCGCAGTTTATTCACTGCTCTCAGTAATCACTACTAGAGCAGATGAGGATGAAAAACCGAGTATCAGGATAAATGGTTAACACATTCAGGCAGAATTGTAAAAAAATCCTAACTGTGATGTACATTTCGTCGACTGAAAAAACACATTCAGAACAAACAATTATCGATGTAATACACTGTTAAATTAACCTAATATTTCATCAAAATCTATAATTTTTTTATTATTTCATACATGTACATAATTAGTCACATTATTCCACAATTACTCGTCTTGCTACAATTTTATAAAACATTTGTCACAATAATAAACGAGTGAGTTCCAGTTAATTAATTATTTTCGTTCTTTTTGTGGTTGTTATGCAATTCTACATCACTGGTATATTTTTACACAATAACACATTGTATATTACTAATGTGCATGTCAAATGTGTCTCACGTTTTCGGTTATTACTGTAAATACTATTTTTGCATACATGTATATATCACATTCTTGCATTTTGTTTGCTATTATAACTAGTGTTACCTCCGGATACTCTGAAGGGAGCTATGTAACGATATATCTGACAAGCCTAATTTGTAAATAGTTTTCAATGTTATTTGTATCTATTTTGTCAATTTTTAACTGTATGTACATTGATTGTAAGTGTTATTTAGGTGTATAACCTTGAAAACACCTTTCCGCTATGTAAATTCATAGCATGACATTCTGTTGACCGCTAGGAAACACATTGTTGCTCGCATACCCCTCGTTCTACATTCATTTGTGATTCAGGGAATTAAAGTCCCAATCAAATATTATCCACATTTATAGACTGTAATTGAAATACATCATATTTTTCATTGAATTACATCACTTAGGAGTTCATCACACTTACTGGAATTATCAATCATCTCTAATTGTGAATATTTGGGACAACATCTAACCAGAGCAAGCAATAACCTGATAAACTAAGTAACGTCCCTCATTTTCATTGTGTTCATAACATTTAACTTACATATATTAACATCACTATTTGTCATTAATAACTCTGTTATTACTTTTTGGATTCGTATTTTGTCTGGTCCACTACAAAATAAAAGCGTCATGAACACAGGTCAGAATAAAAAAAATAGAAAATCAACAGTTACGTCTAACGACAAACGATGAATATTTAACTCGAAAGACACTATTTGCAGCTCATAATATTAGAAAAGTTTGTTTGTCTAATTCTATGTGGAAACAAGGTGGTAGGCGCTGCCTGGAAAACCAATGGAAACCATCCATATTAAAGAGTGTCAGACAAACGGAACTAATCCCTGATAAATAAGTCGTTTTTCAAAGTCACGACATGTGTGTAATTGAAAAATACGATCGCTGAACAAATCATTGCAGTCGAATTGGTTCGCAGTTATTTCAAGTACAAGCGCAATGTGCCTCAATGTCTGTTTACATAATAAACGAATATTTTAAATCAAGAAATTTAATACAACAGGCAAACATTCATTTAGCAGATTGTATATTATGAATGACAAAGTAGTTTACAATTATCTCCAAAATATTTCACTTAAATATCTGTGAGCTGATTCAAACATTCAATGAAACAGGATATTTTCATCGTTTCTAATTGTAGTATTCCGATTCCAAACGCAATCGATGACTGAATTTAAAGAAATTTGTAAACCGAAGACAACTACGATATATTCATACATCAAGAGGAAAACACTGTACAGTGTAGAAAACTGTAGTGGCACGCGATAGCTCTCCACATAATAAATTGTGCAAATAATCACCTGTAATTATGAAAATGTGCGTGAATATCAATGCATTTCTACCAAGATATCTATCCGCGAAATATTAGGCATTTAAAGACATTGAGTTACACATACATAACAAATAAAAAGTAAGCGCCTTGTATTTTGATCTGTCAAATATTGACAGGTGATCTTTCACCTATCGTAGCATCATATAAATTGAGCCATTTAACAACTCTCTCAGGTATTCAGATTTACGTCTCCATATGTTTGCTTTAAAATCTCTTATAATGATTTTTTATAAATGCTTTGATTAGAAAACAATAATGCTTCAATGTTCTAATTTCAATAGAACGACATCTTTAAATGCAAAATAATCAATGGACGGTTATTTGTATTTGAATTCACCTATTTATTTGGAACTTACAATAAACATTTCGCCGCACAAACAAACCAAGCTTGCAACTAGTAAACCCTTCTAAAATAAATAAAAGAAAACAATTCACCTAACTTCAACATGGATCTACATAATTATTAGTGAACAAATAGTATCACTTTATTAATCAATGCCACCAATTTTAAACTAATATGTAGGACTTTATATGAATGTAAAATCAGTATGCTGTTCTGAATTTCGACTTGATGTACCCATTCTGGATTTGCCGTAATTACAATTTCGTTACTTAATCATAATATATAGATAGTATTGAGAATCATTTTCTAAAATCACAACATTATTTCATAACTCTTTGTACTTAAAACATACAGCGTAAACTCCACAAGAAATTTCAGCAGTTCTCCAGTTTCAATCCACGTGTAAACATAACTGATTTCGTTTCGCAAATAATACGTCATGAAAATATGATGGAGGAAACACTGTTGTATTTACTATGGCGGCGAAATGAAGTAAATCAACATTCAACGCAGTTGAACATGTATCAGAAAACAAAGATTGTTTTGGAATATTCCTCAATGAAATATGAATTGAAGATAAATTTCTATTTCAATGTCGGAAACGTCTCACTGATATCTATGATGAGCGGATTTTATAAGTAAAACTCTAACTGTTCGATAGTGTAGAAATCTTTGATTAAATCAACTTACGGTAACAAATATCACCCCGAATAGAAGAAAAATCAACCCAGTTACCGCAAATACACAACAAATCGTAAACAAGATTATCTTCGATTTTCTTGTTGAAATTTGTAATTTTACATCCAAGAAGTAAGCTATGATTACGAGTGTGGTAGCCACAGTTAAAGAAATAATTGGTTCGTACCATTTTCCAACTGACATTAGTAATGCAGTACCGACATAAATAAAGATCATCTGAATAGGGAAAAGTGGTGTCAAATTATTATTAGTTTAAAACTAAAACTAAATGCTTTAAAATGAGTAGTTATGGATACCAAGGAATGCTTATTGAAGTCCATCATAATGATAAACATGAAATAGTTTCAAAGCTAATTCGCTCATCCAGTATAAATGATCAGGCTTTGTGAGATGTATCGCTTAAACGGTGTGAATTATACCACCTCGGGTAAACGAACAACTATGACAGCTAGTAATGTCTGCGACTTGAAACATTAAATGATGACCTGTGTATCACAGGATATAAGTTCAGTGATAAACAGTGTGTGAATGGTCATACAAATTAAGATGACAAATATCTAATTTGATAAGTTATTCTGTGTTTACAACCCATTCCGTGTCTTGCAAATGGTTTAAACAACAAACGTAGATCAGAGTACAATGTATCCGTATTATGTGTATGCACATTTGCACATTTACCCGATAACATAGAAAGATACCTTTAAATGTTATGTTATTTTCACTGCTTATCATTTAGATAATAGGTCAGAGACAATCTGATCACCAATGAAATCAGTAAAACTATGTAAATTGGATCTCCTAAAATAAAAAGATTTTAATATTCAACATCGACAATCATCTGTTCAAGTTAACATTCAAGCACTTTTCTATATTGATATCCGCTATCGAACTAACATGACAATATTTACATTATTCAACAAAAAATATACAATTATTTTAATCGATGATTAGACGAAATTATCATGAATATCAATATAAATCCATATTCAACTGACAGTTATCGCGATAAAGGTACTGCTTATTGTGGATGTAGAGTGTAGCTTTCTGATGAATATTATTATTAATCCAAGAACTAATCCGATAAATCTGAAGAACAAAAGAAAGAAATGCACAACAAATTAAACTCAGAGATGAAACAGACCATCAAAATATACATCAAATCTTCTACATAATCTCAAATGGTTGAAGGATTTTTCTCAACTCAATAATTCAACATATTCAAAAGTATAATAAAGTTGTCTGAATAATCGATGAGTGAATTACCTAATGCATGGTCGCATGAAATATCATATTTTATTTCATCCACACGGGCAGTATTACAGCCCACACAGAGTGAAGTGACTTGTGTGGCGCATATGTATGTGATTCCGCTTTTATCAATATTCGCGTGTTGAAATGAATACATGAAAATATTTCATTCTGATAATTTTTTGTGATGTGGCGTAACACAAAATGAGAATACTTTGCACTGGAAACGAAACAAACTAATTTTCTGTTCCTCAATCACAATATTATTGTCAAACATGATCACGTATTTAAGCACAGTCTATTAATCAGTTCATTGAATGATACGTATTAGTTATACACGAAAACTGTCCTTGTGAATTTTGACACATACCTGTATTTAAAACACATATTACTTACGTCAAAATGAAACCACTGAGAACAAGTGAAACTGTTTCCTGAGCAAAGCTGAATCTGTCAAATGAAATGATAGAATGTCTTACATACAACTAGAATGTTCCTGGATGGTTATCGTTGACGCTTTATCAAATGTGATTTTCATCGTCTCTTAGCTATATGCAATGGAGATTTGTGAGCAATTCACCTCTGAATATTCACCTTCCACAAGAACGAATTCCAACTTTAACTGAAATAAATAAGATTTCACGGTACAGTAATGTAGATATTCAATTTCATGGTTTACACATCACCTTAAATTTTCATCTTCATGCCTATATGTTTCCCTAATCATTGTATTTCAACAGGTATAGATTCATGAACAGAATTTAAATTTAATCTGATTATTTTGCTGTATTGTCATTACAAGATATAAAATCAAGTTTGTCGGCCAATGTAAATTGATCACATTTGCTTCACGTTTGCTGCTCACTGCGTACAGTGACTTGAAGTCATTAGTGAAGATGGTGAACATTGGCCAATTTATTCACCTCAATAAATAATACCTAATGAAAGTATGTTGTTTCTTACTACAATCAATTTGTTTCATAATTTCTCTTCTGTACATCTTGTAGTCAAATGAGGCACAAATACATAAGAATATATAAGAATCAATTTTGTGATTGTAAAAAATTCGTTAGAATCGTTCGCTCTGAGTTTTCTATATTGTGGTTAGCCTATGACATCAAACGAAACTCTTTTTGATGCTTTTTATAATTCGAATTATAAACAAACCTAAGCTCATGGATAATTCACATCATTCGATAGAAATTAACAGACTCACTGGGAAGGATTTGGATATTCAGTAAAAGTGATTCAATAAAATTACATAAATTTATAACAAAATTCACCAATCACTTTGAGTCAACTTTGTTCACTTATGAGTGGCTAATTTTTTTAATTGAACATTGGTTAAGCTGTCTTTGTAATGAACAACAGAATAAGTGATTCAATTAAAAATGAACCAAACTGATTTAACGCATAGTTCATCTTCAAGGAATACCTAATTGCACATCGAAATGAAAAAGATGATTGATCGTGATGCTCCAATGAGCTCAGCGGATAAATGAAGTCTTTACGGAGTGTTGATGTCAGACGAAAGACACTATGTTGATTTGTTTATTCCGTTGACTGCATAAACATATGATGTTTCATGTGATAGTTATTGGTATGGTGATGACGTCTATGAAAATAGTAAAATATTTCTCACGCATAAAACAGTCTGTGTAAGTAGAATGCTAATAGTGAAAACATTTATTTGATTTGACTATCTAGATTGTTTTCTTAAGTATGATATCCTTGACGGTCATATATATTTAAAATATTTGCAAACAATGAAAGCTTGATGATTTCTAATAGCATTATCGAATACTAGATTCTATCACACAAATGGAAACATTTTATGTTAAAATCGATTAACCTAAAATTTGCTTTAGCTCTACCGCAAACAAGACAGACTTCGAATGCATATCTATTATGCCTAGAAGACAGAATGTGATTAAAGTAGTTGAACAGCATCACTTCACACTCAAACAGACAGTGTGTCAGTTTGACGAGAAAGCTATTTGTAGAATTCAATTGAACGTAGACTGAGTACGGTTCGATGATGTGTTACACTTCCTTTTAAATGTGTATCACTCTCTGGATGGACATATTGGTTATGTTGAATGCTTGTAGATGATGTAGAAGTTCATCCAGTTAGATTTCCATAGAAATTGCAAATGTCAATTCATCAGTCACAGTATGTTTTCTTTCAATATTACTGTAACTGTGGATTAAAAACACTTGTATTGCCGTTTATATTGACATTGCCAGGCACTGTATAGTTGATATGTGATTTTTTCAATTTTAAAAATTTTTTCCTATTATTCTTCATCATCTCATTACTGTTCATCAATCTGATGCACTGAAATATTTTATAATCCATTTGTATATTGATGATGTAATATTAGTAAGTATTAAGTGATCATAAGGCGACATTACGTTGCTTGAAGTCATTTTTCCTTGGAGTGTTCCACTAATTTTATGTGAAACACAACCGTTTCCTGACACAATTGTTCATGATTCCTAACTTGGTAACCAACAGAGTTGACCAGGCAGTTTATTAGTTGATTAGCTCACCAAGTGTCATTTATTTGCTCCAGATGATGTGCAGAAATAGTCCTTTGCTGTAAAATTAAAATAAAAGCAATGACACATGTGAAATAGGTCTTCTGATCGCTTTACAGAATGTGATTTTCCTCCCGATTACGAAGATTAAGGTCGTGAAACGAATTTCAAAAGTCACACATTGATCTACAAATCAGTCCGTATGTAGAATTTGTATAGTATTTTTCTGAAAATGTATTCTCTGTTTAGCAGTTGATAATTCTGATTGTTAATGGATGTTTGATGTGTTTTCGAAACCCAGTGCTAACTAGCTATCCATTTAGAATAGTCATCAAATTATTCGGAATTCATGTTATGAGGTCAATTATTTTGTTATGAACGGACAAGGCCGTTCCAAGCAAAAGGGTGGTGTAAGATAAGACAACCTATTTTCCTGTGTTCTCGTAGTCGAAAAGATAAAAACGAACTGGAAATACAACATGCATGCAACTATGGTTTTTGTGACAGAGATCAAACGGAATTCCGACTGAAGAGGAAACTAAGAAAACACATTGTTGATTTCAATTACCCCATCACATGACAATCCATGAACTGGATTTTTGAAGGTGGGGTAAAAAGAGGAAGATAAATGAACAGGTTTTGCCGGTAATGTGAAACTGATATCAGAAAAATAAATGGTGATCAAAAACGCTGCAAAGGAGAACCTCTGACAGAGTTCGTTAACATTTCCTGTTTTGGAGATTCCCATGTTCCTATGAATAAATTAATAAGCATGACAAAACTATACGTAATCCTATTGTATCAAAGTGAGTGATGAGCAGTGAGCCAGCTCTTGATTCCATCTATAGCCGATTCGATCAATAATCCATCAAAATCATGATCGACATCTCGAAAATGATGCGCCGATTCAGTGCATTGGATAATCACATTATGATAACCCACAGTCATATGACTAAGCGTACAAACACCATGATCAAACAAAAAATTGAAACAGTTTACAACTATGAGCGTCTATCATATTTACACATTTCCAACTTTTATAAACGGTAGTAGTTTTTGTTAACTTTGTTCATTGATAGGAAACGCAAAATCCTCTAACAACTCAAAATATCAATGTGAATTTCGAATGAATAATAAGCAGACTTTGAAATATGACTTGACTTATCAATGGTAAAACACTTGAAAATTTGTGAAGACTGAAAACAAAAACAAAAAAATAACAATCATGACGATTTCGTTGTGTTTGTTTTTATTTGAGATCAAAGACTATTTTGCATGTAAGAAATATATGAGCAACAATACGATGAAAATTCATTCATCTCTGTAGTTTAGTTTGAAGTAATAAAAAAAGCAAGTTTACACATGGAAAATTATATACAAATAACTTATTCTGTCATCCGGACAAGCCAATTTATTCATGTTTCTTGAGTTAAATTTTAACAGAGCCAACTATTTACTCATCAAACCTGACTGTTTTACATCTATCGTTGTCATACTGATCGTTTATAATATTGTCTGTGGTGCTTTATTTTATGGTCTGAATAGTGCTTCAAATAAAATATCCAACAGAAATAATACTGATATCTGTCAATATTGCTTATTGCCTCATACAATGTCTACTCGAATTTTTTGCAAATTGATTTATGTCATTCATCAAAGGCGAAAATTTTATTATTCAATTTTTTTTCAACATCTAATGGATTCTCCGACGTCCACCAAGTTAATCAAGTATACAATAAATCAATGATGTGAATTGCAGTGAAGGGATCACTTTTCAACGAGTTTATTACAAAGCTTTACAATCTTTCTATCACGTCATTTTGGTCATTCGTGTTCACATCGGTATATGGAATTAGTATTTTAGCAGGAAATGTTGTTTTTTCATATAAAGACGATTGTACAGTTTCATACAATTAATCTTTTTCTAAATACAATCTGAAATATAAGTATTTGTCCTCATTTATCTGCGTTTGTTTATACTCGACAACTCGCAAATCACTGATCGGTTTAGAAGTTTATAAAACTTTTACAATGTACAGCCACTTGCCAAAAATAAGTTTTTTCAGTTTTTTTCATTCTGCTCTTTTCATCGTATTACGTAGCAGCAGTACTTGAATCAATAGGGTACAATATTAACGCAGAAAACGCCAGATCCACACGTACGACAAGAACAACTCCAACAAAGCCAATTACATTTGATAGAAAAATGCCAGGGAATCTCATGCAGATGTGGAGGCACGGATTGACAAAGCTAGTACAACATTCTATTAGTTACAAAATATATTCAACTCTAAAGAACTATTAACCAATACGTAATTCCGAATCATCATTACGAACAACGAGGCACTTAGTTATACTGTACGGAGCTGAAAGTTCGAGAACTAACACTACCGTTATCAAAAACATAAAGCATAAAAACTAATTTGTTGACAATATGCTGAATCGCTACCACACCTACCACTGAAAAGCTCAAAAAGCAAAATCGAATGAATGTACAAGAACAAGACAGAGTTTCACAAATATCGTCAATATGTGCCATCTGACTCAAAACCAAGCACGAAATTGAATGGTTAAGCCAACAGACGAACGTTTATCCTGCGAAATGAATTTTCTGTAGCTCAATATATAAACCGATAAACGAAGATCTATTTAACAGAACATCTATTATAAATGACAAAGCAGTTTACAAAAATCCTTAAACTATTTCCCGTGAATATATGCGAATATCCGTTAACTAATTAGAACACTCAAACGAAAAGCATATAGCAACCATGTTCAGTCATTGTCTCATTCAGTTTACTGATTTTTTGAATGACAATCGATTAGTGTATTTTAAGACAATTGTAAATTGATAACAGGTTTAAAATATTCATAAATAAACAGGAATGAAGTGTTCCTCATTGCGGTGTCTGATCACATCATATATTGTGAATATAATCATCTTTGATTATGAAAACGTAAATGATTACTTTATTATCAATGCATTGTTAATCGACATTAGCAGATATAAGGGTAACAACTTAGTAGTTTACCAACATTCTTACATAACAAAAGAACAGAAATTGTCTTGTATTTTAAGTTGTCAAATATTGACTGATGATAGTTTGTATAACAGAGCATCGCATAAATTGAGTGATTCAGTTAAGGAGACGAATTGAGCGATATCATCATTCAATTTCTCTCTTTCAAACATTGAGCTTTTCATCTCTTGATGTTTGTTTCGAAATGTTCCGTGACGAATGTTTGTGAATGTCGAAAATAGAAAGCACCAACTCTTCAAAGTTTTAATTTCTACAGAAAGCTATATTTGAGTGCTTAATCATCTATGTACTTTTATTTGTATATACAGTTAATTATTTATTCAGAACCTACGATCAACATTAGGCAAAACCAACAAACAATGGTTGCAACTAATAAACTATTCTAAAATAAAGGAAAAATATTCACCTCATTTTAATCTTTTTCCACATGATTATCAGTGAATAAATAGTATTAATCTACTAATTAACTCTACCGTTTTTACGTTATATGTAGCTGACTGACTGACTTCACAGCGAAACCCTTAAACCGATTGCAGACGTTTAACAGTCTCAATCCATGTGTAAAGAAAACTGGTTTCATTTTGCAATTATGACGTGTTAAATACATCATGGTAGAAAAAGCTATTGAATTACCGAAGGGTGAGGAACGATGTAAATAGGCGTTCATGCCTAAGACAACAAAGATTTATTTGGAATATTCGTCGATGAAGCATGGATTGCGAAATATAAATACATTCGCAATTAATACTTCATCGACGAATATACCAAATAAATCTTTGTTGTCTAAAGCATGAACGTCTCTTCACAACTGAACAAATGATCATAGAATAATCTTCAGTGTCCTCTATTCGATCGAAATGGATACAAGCACGTTACAATAATCCTTATGTAAGTCAATCATAATGACAAAAGCAGAATATTCTTCCGAAATATTCGCTCATCCAGTACAAGTGGCCGCGTTATGTGAGGTTTATCACCTAAACGCTGTGAAGAATTCTAACTTCGGTAAATCAACAACAACGACTATTGGTAATTTCTGCGACTCGAATCACTAAATGATGACTTGTTTATCATTGAACACAAGTTCAGTGATCGACAAAGTTTGTAGATGATTATACAAATTCAAATGACAGAAATCCGATTTGTTTAGTTGTCCTCTGTTTACAACCAATTCCACATCTTATAAATGTTTGTAACAACAAACATAAATGAGGGTAAAATATACCGGTGTTATGCGTATCCCTATCTACATACTTCTGAATTTTTCATGACATTGACTGATATCACTTGTTGTCACAGATGATTTTCATCACATAACGAGAATTTCTAATAACGCAAGATCCATGTGAACCATTGGTGCTCTGGGTTATATACGTAGACACGTTTAAGAAATCCGTGAAACTATAGAAACTTGATGTCTAAACATAATGTTATCTTAAAATACAACATCGAAAATACTCGATTTAATTCAACATTCAAGGTTTATTTAATCTTCATTGCCAATATCATAAAAACACATTATTTTCATTATTCAAAAAACAAAATTAAAAACTAAATTCAATCGATAGTTAAATAAAAATATCATGAATACCTTTTTAAACAATATTCAACTGACAGTGATCACAATGAAGTTATTGTTCTTTGTGGATGTGGTATGTAGTTTTCAGTTATTAATAATAATAATAATATTCTAAAATAACAGTTCGTTACATGATGCATACCAGTTTACAGGCAAGATAAAGTTGTTAAAAATTATACGATACACGCTGTAGTAATTTACTCAGCCGGGTTGATAACTTAAAAGATATGAATATATATAGTTTTGGTCAGTATCACCGTTGGCGCGCTTCATGAAAGTCGGGTTACGAATGTGCAACTGATGGTCAATGAAAGGTCCATTGAAGGTACGAACTTCTAGAAATTGCAACCTTATGTCTCTTTGGAATATCCAAGGCTTGAAGGATGGTGCAAGATGAAGTCACCAGTTCCATATCACAAGGGGGGTGGAAGAAGGAGCAAGTAGAAGCAAGGGCGAGAGGCAGAATAGCCGATATTCATGGAGGTATGTTTAAGGTATGATTACTCAGTCTAATTTTCTTTTATTAAGGTATATGTTAAGAAAGAGCATTTTAATGGGTTCAAGAAAATAAGTGTTAACAAGATATGAGTGGACATACAACTGACAAATGGAGGGAATTCAGAAAAAAGCTGAAAGTATGAGATTATGTGTGGTCATAAAATATAGTGCTAAAAAGGGTTATTGTAATATACAATTGACTATCTTCCTTTTTTTATCGAAACAGTTGGAGCGCTTTTCATCTTTTTTCCTATAATTAATTTTTTTAATTTTTTTATTTTTATGTATCACAGGGTCTTGAGTAGGCTTCGTATATTAGCGAATTTTCTAGTTCGCTTGTAATAGGATTACTGGGTAGGAAGTGAAACCTATTCAACGTTCGCAACACGATTTAATGAGATATTTTGCATGATAAATCAGCATTAAAACCCTAAGTTCGTGACATCCCACTAAACCATAAGGAGCCGTAATTAAAGAAAATGTTCTGCCCTGCAAAAATGGATGGACTGAAGTTATCTCCACACCCTCATGTTTGCTGGTCAGTAACGCCAACCACCCTCCTTTTGTGATGTTAACTCCTTTACGTTTGTGGTAAGTATGAATACTGCTTTAATCAAAGCCCAGCATTATGTGATGCATATGTATTTGTTGCCTCTCCGCAACAGAATGTATGTATAAAGCTGAATTTGTCAACTGAAATGACAAACGACTTGGATGTAAATAGAAGCATCATGACTGATTATTGTTGACATATCATCAAATGCCAATTTTATCTTCGTTTAACTATCTAAAATGAAAATTCATGAACAACTCACCTTTGAAAATTTACTATACACAATCATCACTTCCGAATTTGACTGAAATTTATGAGAATTCACAAGACAGAATGAAACCTTAAATTTTCATTCACATGCCTATTCCTTTTTTTGCATTGTATTTCAACAGTTATGGATTTATAGACAGAACTTGAATCTCATCTGACTAGTTTGCTGTGTCAACATTACGAGATTACTAACCAAGATCGACAGTTGATGAAAACTGATTTTATTAGATTCACGTTAGCTGCTCTCTGAATAAATTGGCACAAAGTCATTAAGGTTATCACACTCAATACATCAAACATAATTAGCAATGAATAAGGCATTTATCCATATAAATAATTTTCAACAGAAGTATTATATTTATTACGTTGAGCTATCTGTTTTATATTGACATATTTTTCCTTATTTGTTCGCGGTTATGAATTCATTGTCAAACAGTGAACTTTTAAGGAAAACACTTTGCTAGTTATCACGATGTAAGCACTAGGAACGAGTAGTTCTACTTCTTCCAATACTCTTGCAATGAATTAGTCTTCGTGTTATAATGAAGAATGGTCTGTAGTTAATGGTCTCACATATTGATTCGGAATAACAAATTTTTAACATAGTCACGAACAACACATAAACATGCTGTTGTAATTTTATAACCTTTATGCTAATGGATGTTTCCTAATGAAAGCGATGTCATGTTTCGCGGTACAAAATTTACCAACAATTATTCTTTATATTTTTACGTGCTAATGATATCGAGGACAACTTTCCATCCGGTATTTTCTATGCTGAAGCTACATGCTTTAGGCATTTTTCGACATTTACACTGATGATATGCTGATTCATCCATATTACCTACCATTCATTATTGTTCTCCATTATGCTTCCCGTTGATATTTTAAAGAAGATTTTCTTCTTTAGTCAAGAGTGCTGAAGTCAGTGATTAAAATGTATGGTGAAGATCATCAAAATCATTTCTGCTGAGACTTTCTAAATTATAGTCAGCCTATAACATCGATCGAAATCGTCGTGATGGCTACTTTTAATATGACTTGTCAATAAATATAAACTTAAGCTTAATTCATGTCATTTGATAGCAATTAACAAACATGGAATGATTCTTATTTATAGTAAAAATGGCCTAGTGTTAATACACAAATTTATAACGAATCATCTTTATTAACTTATGAGTGTTTGCTCTGTTCATTAAACTTTGATTGAGTTCGTGCAAAACAGTGGACTGTGTTTCAGTTAGAACTAAAGCAATATGTTTTAACTGTTAGTTAATTTTAATCGAATGAGTCATAACACCTCAAAGTGAAGATAATTTTGTCGCTCTGATGTGCTGGTTGGTTTTGCTTGAATACACTCTACAGACTACTGACATCAGTCGAGACACCATCAAAACATTTTTGATGTCCGTATAGTTCTTTTTTTTATTAGTATGGTAAGTTTCCAAGGTGGAAAACGACATATATTCTACTTTATGAATACATATATACAAATGGAATGTGATTGTTGAAGTAAGTCGCTAAGGAAACACTAATAGTACATTTCATGTAAAAACGCTGCCCTCAGAGACCTGTAGCTGTAATCTGGAGAAAAGCGA